AAATAAAAATTGGTAGATAGCTATGTGAGAAGAATGAATGCCTTAAAAAAAACCGTATATGGGATATCACTAAATTATCAAAAGAAAAGAAAATAGTATGATACAAATGGATTTTCTCAGTGAAATGTAATGTAGAAGAGAGCCTAAAAGGATATAAAGCAAGATTATTAACGAAAAAATATACTCAATCATATGGGATTGATCAAGAAGTAATTTTTGCTCATGTTGTATAAATGAATATAATTCACATTTCAATATCCCTAACATTCAATTATGGGTGTCATATACAACAATTTGATGTAAAAAATATTTTCTTATATGGTGATGTCAAAGAAGAGGTCTATAATAATCCACCGACAAGATTTGATAGCTCTTTTAAATAGAATTATGTTTTTTAAAACAGCTCTATAGCAGATTGCAAAGTTAAGCAGACCATACTCTTTTCATAAAGCTCTCTCTTGATTGTAAAATAGCATCACTTATTGTATAATTTGACGATGTGATTGTTACAGGAGATGATAATCAATGGAGAAATTTTCAGAAAATGACTTGCTGAAGAATTTGAAATTAAATGGTTAGGAAAAATCAAATACTTCATGAGAATAGAAATGACTCAAGCCAAACAAGGGATATTTCTCTCCCAATAGAAATATGTTATGAATCTGCTCAAAGAGACCAAGATGATATATTGTAAATTGTGTGCAACTCCAATTGAACCATGATATTTCTCTCCCAACCGAAATATGTTAATGCAGAGGTTAGGTGAAGTTGATTCAAGCATGCATGAGTAGGTAAAAGGATAAATTGCCAAACAGAATATCTATCAAAAGTGGGCTAATAAGTTTAGAGAAGTTATGATCCTTAAGGAAGGTGATATAGTCTGGATCTGGTTGAGATTTCCCTATAGGTTCATTTGAGAAGCTTATGCCTAGAGTTGATAGCCCATAAAGGGCTGCCAACTAGATTAATGACAATACATATAAGACTGATCTACCAGTCAACTGCCTTATTTTTGTCGGATTTAACTTTGTCAACCTGATGCTGTACTATGAGAATTCAATGCCTCTAGTGAAGGGGTGAAGCCCCTCCTACTTGGGAGAACAGCGTTTGTGTCCATATCACAACCATCTGAGGCAGATGCGAGAAAAAAATTGGGATTCAGTTTTGTTTCCCCACTTAATCAGTTCATCATCCCATCCTCCAAGGGTTGGTCAGCCCCACTTGTTTTATCTGCTTTACTTAGAAATTCTAAGTTAGAATCAATAATTAGGTATATTTTGCTTGAAACTTATAAATTTGTTGCTTAGGACCTAGTTTAGCACTTTTAGCTTCTTTTATATTATTTAAGACTTGTTTTTCTGGTTTTTGTTTCCACTTGGAGTGTGTACCCTCTTCTTTTCCAGATGATATGATTGTTGTTGATTGAGAGCAGGCGGTGGATTTTCCCCACTTCTGAATAACTTTGAACCCCTTCCAATACTCTCCCAAATTTGACCCCCTTCCAAATCTCCCCCCCCCCCCCCCCCGGCTGTTTTCACAAAAAATAGCTGTTTTAGCCATTCTAATCCTTCCGAAACACCTTCATTTCAGGAAATTTTCATTTATTCTCATCCTATAATCATCCTAATTTTCCCCCTTTATCCTTGCACCATCTAGGAACCCTAGATTGTTGTCAAAATGCCTAAATAATTTGTCAAATATATTTATTTAAATTTTAAACTAATCATATTGTGTGATGATCATATTTTACAAATTATTTTGTTAATTAATCTGATTATTATTTTTTAAAAAAGGTTTAATAAATAAAACTCTGAATAATTGATCATACTGTATGATCTAAGTCATATTACACAATATTTCAAAACTCTATAATTGAGAGGAATAATGAGACACTTGTAGAGAGCTTAAAAATCAGTGAGTGAAGATCTCATTTCATATTTTCTAATTTTTTTGAGAGAAACTCCTCGAGATTGATTTTAAAACCCCTAAAAGAAAATTTTTAAATGGAGTGTACACTTAATGGTGTTCTATTTCTCTAAGTTGAGAATATGACTGTATTTAGAGGTGTACTTTTGTAGTAATGCAAAACCTTTTATATAAAATTATTCATGGAGGACTTGGTGTCGTTAGTAGGTGGGCAATGGTAGCCATTTTCTTGCTTGGAGAGAGGAAGACTTGTTGGGGTGTTTCAAATTACCCGTTAAAGAATGAGGTTTCTCCTACTTGTTGTGGCAAAATTAAACTGAAAATCTCTAGTGGAGGACTTGGAACGAATGTAGGCCTTAGTCCTGAACCACAATAAATTAGTTTGTGTTTCTTTACTTTTACTTTTCAATTTTACTTTCTTACTTTATAGTGTTATGCTTATTTTGGCCACATTGTGATATGATGAGAATTGTTGTGATCTCTATAATGGCTGATTGAGACTGATTATGTAATATGTAGAATTATTAAAAAAAACTAATTAAATAAGATAAAAGAAAAATTATAATCAGTTGTTACTGCTTTGTGTTCTTTTAGCACGCAATCATTTTCTCTTTAAATCGTGAAAGAAAAATTATTTTTCTTGTGTTGCATGCTGATTTTAATTTTAAATAACTAATAACTAATTAATTAAAGGGAAATTTACATACCTAGCACACAATTCTTATGTATTTTCATATTTCACACCTCAATTTTCATTTTTACGCACACAACGCTATGCTGCTTTAAACCTGTACATGAAAAGGAGTATTTTAGTTTTAAAAGATGTTTATAGTGCTGTGTATGTAAAAATGAAAATTTAGTGTGAAATATGTAAATACATAAGAATTCTGTGTCATGTATGTAAAAGTCCCTTAATTAAAACATTTATTTTAAATGTAAACGTATGATACTAGAGTTTAAGACTAATTGATAATGAAATGGTTGAAAATTTTTTATTATTCAACAGGAAATTGAAAGTGAATAAAATTAATAAGGAAATCAATTTAATTTCTACGAAGTAGACCACACAGCGCCACTTGTCGATCAAGATCAAGAACATTAAACAATGCAATAAAAATCATATATATAAAATTGTCAAGGAATGAAATTATCAAATTAGGCTTCACTCCAGTATAAGGACATGATTTCCACCAAAATTTGGTAATTTTATTTGTACCACACTCGAAGAATCAAGCATTTAAATTGAACTCGCAAGATTTAAAACTTAAAGAGATTTTATTCAATCCCAGATGTGTTTTTTGATTAGATATATTGGATGACTATTTATTGTGTTCTCATAATGGAACATCATAAGCACCCTCTCAAGTTCAACCAAATTTCTAATTTAATTTCAATTTTCTAAATCAACCAAACGTCATTCAAACGTAACATATACACAAGACCACATGTTTCTACTTGCGCGTGAAAGTGCTCGATAGCCTAATGCAAATGCATCAGAATATAGTACTGCCCCATTTTAAAAAAATAACCCAAAGGATAAATCTAGAACTACTAATCAAAGAAGTTGAAATCCTGCAACCTAGAAGACTTGCAGGTCGAACTCTCTCTTGATATGGAAGCTCATCATCAATTTAGCTTTTTTTTTATAATTAAAGTAAATAAAGCTAAAACAAAAATAACAAGATGTAAGCAGTCCATCATAACATTCTTAATCTTCTTGTGGGAATTAACTTGAAATAAACTGAGTTTGAAATCATCTGAATCCAATAAACTAACCTAAAGTTGGGCGTTAACTTCTTTCAGCCAATAAAATATCATCATTGTCATATCATCACGTACATAAAATAATTAAAAAAACCAACTATTGAAAAGAAATTATTCACATTGACATTAGTGTCTGATATGATGCTTCTAATGATAATAAATAAAAATATTTCTATCATAAGTAATACTTGACATGAATGAAATGATAGGCTAATATTGGTGATTATATTGTAGATTATGCTTTGTTTGTTTTCCTATTTTAGAACTTCCCAAACAAATTTATAATTTTTTAAATTTTGCTTCCCGTTAAAATCAACCATCTTCTATGTATTTATACATTCATGTGGAGTAGAATATAGTTATAAAACTTCATTTAAAAATTATCCTGCTTTAGGTTGATATAGCAGCTCAATATTGCGTCGACCTTTCTGTAAATGCTTCTTCATTTCAATTCATGCGAACCATGTTTTTTCTGTTAAACACTTGATTTCCTGATATGTACTTCGGCAATTTTTTTCTGAACAAGCTTTGCAAGTAATGGAAAATATATTGAGGTATTCTCACACATTAGTTCAAATAGATGTGTTAGCGTTCGTGAACTAGCAGAAGGGTCTTGAGACTTGCACTTTGTTCTCCTTACAGCAGAATACCCCAAGCTGTCTGTCACTTAAAGATTTAGCCATTGTCTATGATTAAACATAATCTTCAAGGTATACAAATTAACATTTGAAACAGCAGAGGATAAATTTAAATTGTAAATTACCTACCCTACGATGTTTTTTCACTCTACGAAGGTGTCCATGACCTTTTCTTTGTCAAAACCTTTTATTTGGGACCTTGAGGTTCATCTTTTATTCTCTGGTGGTTTTTAAGCATTACTATTAATATTTTTCCAATGGCATCCCTTCATATGATGGCTCTTCTAATTGTTAAATTTCTATTATAGGAATTCCTCATTGTGAACGGTTGTTTTTAAATACGAATATTATATATATATATATACATATATATATATATATATATTGTTTTGTGTCAAATAGGAGCAATCTTATTCTTATCCATTTTTCTTGACACATCAGGATATTAAGGACCTATTTGTGAGGTTCTGGAACCTAGTTGTTGCAAATGAAGTTATTAAAAGCCGTAGAACTATATGCACGCATGCCCACCTGGACCAAATTCATAAGTTATTTTTCCAGATATTTCACAATATTTGTATGGATTTTGCATCTTATTTATTCTCCCACTCTTGCATTCTTTCCCAAGGCATTGCTCATTCTTCCCTTCTGCTTTCTTGATATCATGGGCAGGGAAAGAAAGAGCTTATGAGGATGGAATCTCTTATGTTACTGGGTAATGAAATGAAAAATGGGCTTCAAATTCTGGGATTGAAGCCTTCTAGCTTCTCAGAGGCAAGTACTTCTGGTTTTTACTATAGAATGATGATTTTCCCTTTTTTCTTATTCTAAAACCTCTTTCAATTCCCAGGCTCTATTTCAGCTGAGAGAGAAAGCCTTAAAGAGAGCTGGGCTCAGTGAAGAAGAAGTGTTGCAGAAAATAGAAGAGAGAAGCTCGGCGCGGAAGGCAAAACTGTATGAAAAATCTGATGTGATCAGGAAGGAGTTGGCTGCCGTTGGAATCACTCTAATGGATGGTCCTGATGAAACCAGCTGGAGGCCGGCCGTACCTCTTCATCTACAGGACCAATTGGCCTATGCTGCTTAAATCTCCACCCCCATTGAATTTTGCAGCAAAATGAAGCCATCTCTCCTTGTTATCTCTAGATTTTCATATTATATGTTAAGCATCATATAATATGAGGAATATGTGTGCATTTTTATTTTCATATTTCACATAATGGTGATGTGGCCTGTTGACATATGAAGTTTTTGGTTTTATCATTTTTATATGTTTGTATGATTGCATATTAAGACATTTAAATTATATTAGTTGATGGATGTGCATTTTTTAATTAATTTGAAAAAAAATAAAATAAAAAAAAAGAACTTGTTCATTGTTAAATCGTTGTGGTCATATCAATACAAAGTTTTATAATTAAATTGCTTTAAGTTTTCATCTAATTATATTTGAAAGTGTGAACTCTGTAGACAAAAATGAAGATTTGATTTGAAGCGTTGCTATGTGTATTGGACCCAATCTTAATTTTATAGCCAATCGATGAATGGTCACTTTATTATTGTTTATGATGACTTTGCGCAAGTGGCCCTCAATTTTGGTGGGTGGCTTGTTATCATCAGCATTTTATTTGTTTATGAATTATTATTTTTTAAATCATTGGCTACTTTGTTTGTTTGTAGATGAGGGTCACATTGGCTATTTTTGTTATGGAGAGGGAAATAGAGAGGTGGTGGCAGGGTCAACTTCAGGAGAAGTTTGAAGGTGGAACTAGTAGTCTTATTCATTGAGAGAACTTTGTAAGGACTTTTTGTGATTAGTTAATTCCTCTTTAGGCCAGAACATAGATGCAGGACAGGTTCATTAGGCTTGTGCAGGGTGATTGTTCCATTAGGCAGTATGACGTTGAGTTCACGATGTTGTCCATGTATAGACCTCAATTAATCTCTAAGGCCGAGGAAAAGTGCCACTAGTTTCTCTTTGAATTGAAGGATATCATCCAACAATCTTTAATTCCTCTTGGCATTGAGGATTATTTGGTTTTGGTGGAGATGGTGAGGAGGATAAAGATTGATTTATTGGCCGCGTAAAGACGTAGAGATTTCCTGAAGAGGAGAGGAGATGTCAGGTCTAGATTGGGACATACCACCCAGTCTATCCAGTCTGGGTAATTTAGCATGAAGAAGTTCCGACTCAGTAGCAGTTTTACTGGTAGTGACACTAGCAGCAGTAGCAGTAATAGTAACAGTATAACCACTTGTGCCAAGTGTGGAAGGGCACAAAGAGGAGTATGCTTTATTTGATATTGGAGTGTCTCATTTATTTATCTCCGAAAGGTATGTGAACTCTAAAAGATTAGAAGCATTTAGAATGCTTGATGCCTTATTAATTTTTCTACCTAATGGGTCTATCATGGTGGCTGATAGAAGCTGTTGTATCAATCAAACCATATTCAATATAATTTTCAAGGCGAATTGGGTGGTACTACCACTTACCAAGTTTGAAGTGATCTTAGGGATGGATTGACTATCTAATCACTTCACAACTATTGATTGCTCTAAAAAGATAGTTAAATTCAGTATCCTAAAAGAAGAAGAATTCAAATTTGTGAGAGATAAAGAAGTCTTGTTTATGATGATATCCAGTTTGAAGGCATGCAAATTGTTAGCAAAAACGTATCAAGGCTGGTTAGCTCAATTCATTAATATTGTGAATGAACCAAAGAAGTTAGAAGATATACCGATAGTGAAGGAGTATCTATATGTGTTCTTAGATGATTTATTAGGTTTGCCTCCAAGAAGAGAGATAAATTTTCCTATTAATTTAATATCAGGTGCAAAATCAATGGCTAAAACACCTTATAGAATAACAATGAAGGAGCTGCAAAAATTTAAAAGCCCACTGTAGGACCTGTTGGAGAAGAGATTCATGAGGCCAAGCACTTCCCTTTAGGGAGTCGGGTTATTGAGTTATTTTATGTGATAAAAGAATTGGGGTTAATGAGTTATTGTGGAGTTATCGAGTTATTTTAGAGTTATTTGGGAGAAGAAAATTTTTTAGACTTATTTTGGGGTTATTGAGTTATTTTTGAGTTATAAGTATTTTAGGGTTATTTTGGAGTTATTGAGTTTTTTTGGAGTTATTTTAGAGTTATTGAGTTATTTTGGATTTATAGTTATTTTGGGTTTATTTTAAAAGTTATTTTGGATTTATAGTTATTTTGGGTTTATTTTGCAGTTATAGTTATTTTGGAGTTTTTTTGAGATTATAAAGTGTAGTACAAAATAACTCCAAAATAACTATAACTGCAAAATAATTGTAACTCTAAAATAACTCAATAACCCCAAAATAACTCAATAACTCTAAAATAACCCCAAAAAAAGTATAACTCCAAAATAACTCAATAACCTCAAAGTAACTCCAAAATAACTCAATAACACCAAAATAATTCTAAAATAACTCTAAAATAACCCCAAAATTATTGAAGTGGTTATTTCGGGGGTTATTGTGACATGTTGGAGAGTTATTGAGGGATTATTGGGGGTTATTGCAACGTTATTGTAGTGATTATGCAGGGGTTATTGACGTGGAATCATAGAGTTATTGACGAGTTTTTAAGGGGTTATTGCGGGGTTATTGTGGCATTATTTTTTGGTTATTGAGGGGTTATTATGACGCTATTGAGAGGTTATCAGAGGGTTATTGCGGCGTTATTGTAGTGGTTCTTGACGAGGAACCGCCCGGTTATTGTATCACATTAAAATGATGTTATTTTTTGTGTGATACAAGAATTGGGTTGTATGTATGTAAATATATTTTTTTATGTGATAAAAAAATTGAGTGACATGTATGCAAAAATTAAAATGATGATATTTCTTATGTGATTCAAGAATTGATTGGTATGTATGTAAATAAATTTTTATGTGATATAAGAATTGGGTGATATGTAAGTAAAAATTAAAATGATAATATTTTTATATGAATAATATCTCAATAACTCAAAAAAAAAACGGCTATGAAATTTCAAAATAATGGATTCACGAATTAAAATAAAATATTTTTTGTTTACAACAATATTTTATTGGACTCGGTGTCGCTATGAAAAATATGTAAAATTTTCTCCTACCTAGAAGCTCGAACAACCCTAAACCCCCAGTAAAGAAGAGGAGGGAGAAGCATTCATGCCCTAGAAGGAGAAAGAACAGAAGGATGATGAAGAAAGTGGGAGGCATGAACCCATTGTGCGGCTCGCAGAGGAAGGAGTAGTGTGATCATTCTCTACTTGTTGTGCGGCTGTGTTGAAGCTTGATTGAGAGCAAGGGGAGGAAGAAGAAATTGCAGAGGTTTGAAGCTCGGCCAAGAGTGTAGGGAGGAAGAAGTGCTCGCGGGAGTGGGTGTGCGGTCTGTAGCATAACGAGGACATACAAAAGAGCCACTTCAAGATGAATCTGTTAACAACTCATAGGATTTCGAGATGGTTTACCTAGCGTAATACCTAGAAGCTCGAACAACCCTAAACCCCCAGTAACGAAGAGGAGGGAGAAACATTCATGCCCTAGAAGGAGAAAGAACAGAATGATGATGAAGAAAGTGGGAGGCATGAACCCATCGTGCGGCTCGCTGAGGAAGGAAGCGGGTTCTTCCTTCGTGTGGCTCGCACGAAGGAAGAATGAGGTTACCGTATGACACATATCACTTTTAGGCTTTTGCACAACCCTGTTATGCAATTATATGTCATAACACTTTAGGATTATGAGGTTACCGTATGACACAGTGCGGCTTTTTGTACAACTCTGTTATACAATTATAGGTCCTAATGTTTTAAGATTCCGAAGTTACCGTGCGGTACGATGTAAATCCTCCTGTCTTGTTAGGCTATTTGCACAATCCGACATTGTGCAAACATAAGTCCTAAATCATAAATAATTTGCAGGATTGAAATATCAAATTAAATCATTTCAAAAGACATAAAGCCGAATATTAGGATTGTTGGGACATTCCCAGGGTTTCTCTTGGATCTGTGATATCCCCTACTTTTTATTCCTTTGGATCCTTGCAAATAATTGTTTCTATTTGGAACTCAGGTAAAATAAACTCTATCTAATCCTTAGAAACTATAAGAAACAATTATTTGCAAGAATCAAATAATTGTTCCAAATAGGAGGCCACCCCATTTGATTTTCTCGTGTACAATCTTGGAAATCTAAACTTTGAAATCTGGAAAGTAAACCCACTGATATTAATCGAGAGTTTTCTTAGGTGATCTCAGTCATTTAAGATGTAATTAACTATAGGGTTTGTCTCTATAGGGAACTTGGAACTCAGGTAAAATAAACTCTATCTAATCCTTATATTATGTAGGTGAAGTTGTTGGCCTCATATAAAATATTTCGTAGACCAAACGGATGTCACAATTTTTTTAGTTTAGGTGATTGAGTCTACTACAATTCTTCGGGATAAACTTCGGGATAAATATATTACTCGTGGTATCGTGTTTAGTCATCCAAACTATCTAAAATGTGAGACTCGCTTGGTCTCATATCTATTTTTAAATTAAAATAACTTTCAAAAATTAAATTTACATCAAAACTATTTTCATATTTATAAAACTTATCTCCCTTTATCAAAAAAAAATCATAAAACCAAGTTTTTAAAGTTTTAAAATTAATTCTGGCCGACAGTTATATAACGCCGCCTCATGTGTTATACATCCGCCTATAACTCTCTTCTAGCCCGTGGTATAACACGTTGGGAATATTCCCAGCGTTCAAACGCGCGGTCTAGCGGAATATTCCCCATGTGTTATGCCACGAATTTAACGCGTTATTTTTCAAAAATCACCTGTTATAAGCCATTTTAATCGTGTTATATGGCGATTTAACTGATTATTTTGAAATTTCACGTGTTATATGGGATTTAAACCTCATTAGATTTAAACCTCATTATTATATGTTATTAACTATTCGTTGCATACAATTTAATACATATATATTTATAACTTAATTATATGTATAGATTCTGGCTGGGTTTCGGTGGGGCCGACGATTCAGGCCGGTTACGTTCAATGAGCGTTTTTTTTTTTTTTTCATTGCACAGTGGGACTCACATTCCAGTTGGATTCATTTTATTGGACTCCGCAGACAACTGTCCATGCGAAGTCCTGATGTAATATTTTTTCCTCTTTGCGAGCTGCTGGCAACTAGCAAATGGATTAAAGAAACTATTAATATTCTTAGAGTGTTTTAATGATGAAGTCT